CTTAATTAGAAACGAACCTTAAAATAAATTAAAAATATATTAACAAATAGCGAAAATAAAACAAATATTTAAAAAAAAAATATTAAAAAAAAAATATTTACTTACTGCAGCTAAAGTTGGTAAACTTGCTTTCTTCGGTTCTAAAGAAAGAAGTTTACAACAGTATATCGGCAAAAAAAGATTATCAATTTATTAATTGATAATCAATTCAAGATCCAAATTCAGATCTGAATCTGAATCTGAATTCGATGATCAGATCTGAATCTGAATCTGAATCTGACGGATCAGATCCAAATCTGAATCTGAATCTAACAGATCAGATCCGATCTGAATCTGAATCTGAATTAGATCCGAATCTGACAGATCTGATCCGAATCTGAATCTGAATTAGATCTGAATCTGACAGATCTGATCCGAATCCGATCTGTCAGATTCGGATTGGATTCAGATTGATCCAAATCTGTGCAGAACACTACACACAAGAGAATTATATATAAAAAAATCAATCATTAATATTTAAAAAACTTGATCTACCAATAATTTCTTAATAAAATTACTACATATCAATTTATCTAATTATATCCAGTTTGACATTACTTAATACTTCAGGATTCATGCTTTTTTTGATCTTAACCACTATTTTTTTGTTTATTAGTCCAATGTTAATTATAGGAATCGCTACTATTTGATCAAATTTCAAACAAAAAATTTCTGATAAACTTTTTGCATGTTTTACTAGAATTGTCAATGATCTTAATATAAAAATAATACACTGGAAATTGAAAATATCTTCAGTAAATTTATCACAAAAATTAATATTAAAATCAACAATAAACTTTTTGTATGTCTTTCTGAAGTTTATTCTACTTTTACTGTGAAGCTCAGTAGAATCAATAATGATTTTAATAATAAACTTACTGGAGAAATCAAAAAATTCATTTACATGATGCTAGCTACGCCTCTGAGACACAGAAAATTTTATCAATGGTCAATAATATGATCACAAGACTCAATAATATTGAAGAAGCCTGCTGTAATAATTTTGGTAACATTTCATCTGAATTCACTTTGATCAAGACCTCTCTGAAATGAAATAATCTAATGTTATACAATTGTTCAAAGGCTTCAGGTTGATTTTGATCAACTGAGTGTGACTAACCATTTCTCTAGTAGCGAAAGTTCTTCTAGTTGATTATCTGATTCATCTCTTGAAAAAGATAGAAACCATTTTAAGTGAGTTTTTGATTCAAATAATGAAGAAGAGGAAACTTTAGATTATGTGTTTGAAACAGTTAGATGTGAAATTCGTCAACTTATTAGAAAAAAGATTGGGAAAGAAACTGTAAAAAATTTTTATTATAGTGGAGGGGATCTAAAATTTAATATAGTAATGTTATGCAATGATTAGATAGTAAAGAAATTTCTAGTTTAGATAATAACTTAGATAATCAAGAGTAGTGGAAAAGGAACTGGCATTATATGGGTTAGGGCTCGGCAGGCTTAATAAGTAGGCGTATTCTTTTATGTCTTTCCTCCCTTGAAACAACCTGCTACTCTATTCTTTTTTACTTTCATTTTTTATTAACCGGCTGGCTAATGTTTTAGGCTAAATCAAAACCTTTTGGCAGCCAAAACTTCTAAAACCTAGCGAAATTTATTTTGACACTGATCAAAAAATCGAAACCTCTGAAACCTGCCTAAACTTCTGAAACTTTCCTCTGAAATCTCCTTATTTTCAACCTAAAAAAGGAATCTGCATATATATGTTGTCAGATGCAGCTGACTCACGTCAGGTGTCAATCGATACTTAACGCATATATTAATTGAATGCTACATTAATGTTAATGTTAAGCCATAACTGTAATTTGTTTAACATCCAATATGTAGGTAAAGATATTATTTTACCGGATAATATACAACAATCACAAAAAAATTCAGGTGGTAGACTCAAGTCACTTGTATGGGAACCTATATTAAATAAGAAAATAAAGTATTGGAAGACCATTATGAAGCGACTTGTCTTTACTGCAATATCTTTTGGCATAAAAGTTCACCTCAGGCTTTAGAATCACACCTTGTCAATAATTATTTAAAAGTTTTATTAAAAGTAAAACAGATATTTTTAAACAGACTTACTACAAAAGCAGAAACTTCTGCAAGTAATCAAAATAAGAAATAAAAACTTATTGGTGGAGTTGCTAAACAAATGAAAATAACAGATTATCATGAAAACTCAAGGCTTTCTCCAGAAAAAAGCTGTGAGATTGATCAGGCATGTGTGAAATCATTTGTAATATGTGATATTCCTTGGCATGCTATTGAAAATCCATTTTATATAGAATTTTTAAAAATATTACATCTAGAATATATACCTCCTTCTAAAGAAAGACTCTCTAGTGATCTTTTGGATCAAGAAGTAGCTGTTGTGAATAATTGAGTTATTAGGGAATTAAAAAATTCTAAGAATTTAATATTATGTATGTATATAATGAAGTTATTTAATTTAATTTTATTAATTATAAGCTAATTATTCTTTTTTTTATTTTTTTTTAAAAAAAATTTAAAAAGCATGCGATGGATAGACCAATATATCAAATGAATTTATTTAGAATTTTCTTATTCACATATCCTCTCATAAAGAATATTTGTGATACTTAAAAAATTTGTCAGATGAACGTCATACTGGTCTCTTTTTATAAAAAAATTGGACCAGATAAATTTTCAGCTATAGTAACAGATGCAGGACCAAACATCCAAAATGTTCATAAAATAAATATCCAAATATCCTTAATATTTATTGTATTGCTCATGCAATTAATTTAATTTCTAAGGATATATGTAATATTTCTTTTGCAAATCAGATTTTAACTAAATGCAATACAATAGTGATTTTTTTCAAAAAAAGTCATCAGGGAGATAAGTTTTTTTTTATAATTTTTTCTTCCATTTTGTTATAATATTTAAAAAATTTTTTATATTTATTTCATTTTTAATAGATTCAGCTTTAAAAAAAGAGGCTGAAAACTGTCAAATAAATGAAGCAAGTTTGAAATGATGGGTTAATATTCGATGATATACCATGTTTGACTGTGTTAATTCTATTAAGCATCACAAGGAAACTTTAACAAAGGTAATATTAAAATTATTATATGTTTATATAAATACTATATTATATTTAATTTCTATCATTAATTAAAACAATATTTTATTAACGTTACAATCTGATTATACAGATCTTCTTTCGCTTGCAGTGTTATCAATTTTACAATCTCGTGCTTTTTTGATGATGTATATGCATTAGCATTTGCATTGCATCCTATAAAAAAGCAATTTTAAAATTAGAATCACAATCATACACACTTGCAGATTGTTTTATTGGACTAGCTCAGCTTAGGACTGCGATTAACAAATTATCTAAAAATAATTATTGTGCTTTTAGTCATCAATGCATTACAATATTCAATAAACATTACACTGATTTTGCAGATCCAATATACTTATTGTACTTTTTTTTACATCCAGGTTATAAAGGTTAGTTTTTTTTTGAAAAAAAAAATTAATGATTAAAATTTAATTAGATAAATGGAGTATTTATTTTGATTTTTAATATTTAACCAATTTTTTAATCTAGATATTTGCTGGACATGAGGAATTTTTCGGAAACTCTTATTGACTGCAGATGAACTTTTTAAAAAACTGGAAAAATCAAATAGGGAATGAAGTGAATTAATGCATCAAATGAAATTATTTCATATACGTCAAGCTCCTTTTGATATTGAATTAGGTAAAACTGAATTACCAATTTCTTGGTGGATATCTATGGGAGATAATTTTCATGAAGGAGAGGATTATTTAGTACAGTTAGCAAGTAAGCTACTATCAATCATACTCCACATGGCTGGATGTGAAAGAATTTGGTCTAGTCTTAGCTGGTTATATGATAAAAGAAGAAATCGACTAGGGTTAAGTAAAATTGAAAATATGTATAAATTATCAGCTTATTATTATGCACATGCAAAACAAGAATTGCCATATTATAGTATAGAAAAAACAAGTGATGAAATTTGTGAAATTTTAGTTAATGCACATTTAAATCCAGATGAAGATATTATTGAAGTAATGAAAGATGATGGTGATATTAATGATACAGAAGTAAATTCATTTGGTGAGGAAGATGATTTGATAATTAGTAAGCTCTTAAATTTAGATGCAGATATATTTGTTAATAATTTAGACGAAATTATTGAGGATAGTTTGGAAGAGGATATAGAGAAAGAAGATAATCAAAATGCAGCTGAAAAAGACAAAGAGATTGATATAGAGTGGGATCCAGTTGCAGAAGCCGATAATATAGTTAATAATATATAAACTTAGAATTTTTTTCTTAATTGATGCATATTTTACAATAATAAACAATAATAAATAAATGTTAAGTTTTGCTTAAAAAATTTTTTTTTATTAATTTTAAATTTTAAATTCATGTTTATTTGCTATTTTTGTTTATATATATATTGTGTTTAGAGGTTACAGAGGTTACAGAGATTTAGGCAGGTTTGGCAGGTTTCGGAGATTTGGGCAAGAGTTTCGGAATTTGATCAAAAAGGCGAAACGTTTCGCCAATCACAAAACAGTTTCGCCTGAAACATTACGGCCGGCCCTTTCATATTATTTTATGAAAAAAATATGTGTGTGTGTTTTATGTGTATATAAGTTCTCAAATATAAATTTTGTGTTCGCATATCAATGAAAAATATATCTGGTTTATAATAAAAAACTTGCCTCTTTGATAGCATCATAAATTTTGCTTACTTTCTAGCATTTTTTTCTCAAGCTTTTATTTTTATAACTTTAGATTATCTAATTCATTAAAAAAACTTGCTCATAAAAATTTAATCTAATACAACTTTGTATATATTTTTGCAGTATAACAATAAAAATCTAATAAACACTCCGAAAAAAAAGAAAGTGAATGATTAACTTAGGAAAATTTACGTTAATCATTAAATAACAAAAAACGAATCATCCTCCGCATAATCGCTCTTGCGCACTGCCACATTAGTAAGAATCCAAGCGGTACCGATTGACTCCTGTTGAGGTTGAGCGTTGCGGTCGAAGAATGCATTGGGGTATTGCGTGCGAATGTTTCTGCGCACGGCGTATAATTCAGTCAAATTTGGGAAGTGGAAAATACTGAGCGAACCTTCATCTCTGCGTCTATTATTTTGGAGATTATTTGTCGCAAATGAGTACATCACCGCTTGATAATTCGCATACGTGTTTTGATTAATCCAATTTTGATTTGCTACGATAATAAGAACGGGATCAAAGTCGTCAACTTTACTAAGTTGTTCCTCGTACTTCTCAATGTCTTTGTTGGAAGCTTGCGAGAAAATAGTCTCAAGAGCCTCTCTGGTAGATGAGAACATTCTAGAAATAATGTGAAAAAAGGTTAACTACAATAGCTTGGATAAAATTACGCATTACTTACTCGTTTATGTTATTATCACTCATGGGTATTTGTTTATTTCCTTTTTCGTTTCCTGCGTTTTTGGTTGTGATAAATTACTGATTAGATTATCAGTCATATAAAACGTGAAATCTAATTTTTGATATACCTCTCAACAACAACCAAATAGCACCAAATATATTAGCAGCAACAAAGACGAATGGTACTGCCTAAAGAATGGAGATTATTTAGAGAAGTGATAGAGTTTAAAAAGTTGGCAAAATGAGGAGACAGACCAGCCAGCCGAATAAAGAACACATTGGAAGGATCGCGACATAAGTGAACCAGGTAAACCATTCGATAGGCGATAAAAGTGATATGAATGAAACAATTTTTCGGATAACTCCTTGTAAAAACATAGTTTTGGAAAATTAAGAGCTACAGCATTTTGAGAATGGAGTTAGTAATCTTAAGAGTGAGAATCTGGAAAGAAATCTTCATAACAATCAAAGGAATCATCTAGGGGTATTTAACTCCTACTTAATAATGCGATCGCATGAAAAATGATATGTATTATTGTATAAAAATTACGAATTATATGATTTTTTTATGGTGACTTTTAACGTGATTGGTTGATTTTACTAATCAATGATTTATTATCAGCCGTGTGGACCTGGTTTATGGTACTAAAGATGTTCTAAAGCCTCTTCGACTATAAGAAGTATGATGGGACCGTTAAATACACAAGGCATTATTAGCATCAAGAGTAGGCAAGTAATATAAATTCTCAACATTGACTTTACTAAAATTATGATCTAATTTATTTCTGACACTGCATGTCTCGTATAAGTGTAACTGACGACCGGTTTTATTTTATCCAGATGGGGACGGATCATGGAGTTAATGTTGAGTAATTGTGTTAGTATAGTTTAGGAAAGTGAAAACTGGTGTGGTCCACATGCATTAGTATTAGTATAGAGACATCATTTTTGCTTTGTAAAGCAAACCTACGTAGATTTAATAATTTGTTTGGTTGGCTCGTTATTTTTAACATGTAAATGATGTGGTGTGTGTATCTGAAAAATTTCTATTCGATTTTTCGTGTAATTCCGGATGAATAAAATTATAGTTGAAAAAAACCAATAGTGGATCGCAAAAGCATTTAAAGTTTTGACTTTATTCAATGAGACCCAACTCTCGAAGATGATTTGGAATTACTGTGTAAGGATCCTCGTAATACCAAACATATCTTAAAACAATCGAATTCTCTTTGCATAATTCTTTCTTGAGTTGATCAAGTAGGCCAAGAATGTTAGTTATGATTTCGCGACACAGATTTTCATGTTTATTTAAGCAATATGGGCACCATGTCTTGGAGTGCTTTATACAATTAAAACTTGAAAACCATTTATGACCCTTATTACACATCCATTGCATTGGAACACAGAGATTTATATATTCTGTAGAAAGACACATACCTCCTCTATTGTGGGCGATTTCTTTAGCTTCTGAAAGACCACAGGGAAGATTGCCAGCACATTGTGTGCACCATCTTCCCATATTTTTTATTTGATAAAGGGTTGTAGTTCATGACCTTTGGCACATTTCCAAAGCATCGGGGTATCTGTATTAACATATTCTGTAGAAAGGCACTTACCACCTCGTTCTTGTGCAATATTATTTGCTATATCAATATTGAATTGTCGTTGACGGTGCTGTGTATCATGTCTTTGGATTGGGGTACATTCTTGTTCTGGTGTAATATGTTCTTATACTGGGATAATCTTTTGGCTTGGTATAACATATTTTTATTCTGGTATAATATATCCTTGTATTGGGATAATCTTTTAGCTTAGTATAACACATTTTCTGCCTGGTGTACTACAAGTTCAACACCAAGTTCCCTTAAGAATATCCTTTGCTGAAGCCTTTCACTTATGACCTTTTTTACACTGCTATTCAAGAGGATCTCATCTATTAATATACTCAGTTGCATGGCAAAGAACCTCCTTTCTTTTCTGCAAACTTTCTCATATCTTCAATTATTCGAGTATGACAATTTTCAACTGCATACCACAGGCACCATGTTTTTTCATTCTTTATATTAGAAAGTTTTGCAGACTATAAATGATCTTTAGCATATTTCCAAAGTATTGGCATCTAACAATTGATATATCTTTCAGAGATGCATTTACCTTCTCTGCTACATGCAATCTCTTTAGCAACATCTAAAGTTAATTTTGCCATTAATATTTTACACTAAATTTCAAAAAGTCAGCAGAAAGCATGATATTATTTCATTTTATGCTTTATTCTTCCTTTTAAACGAGAACTACTCCAATATTTTCTATTAGTTTCATTTTATACTTAGCCAACTGGCCCCTTTTTCACGTATTACTTTACAAAAATATAATAAAGATTTTACAGTCCCCGTCAAAAGTAATGGCGTGGCGGTTGGGGCATTGCTTCTTGTGTAGACCACAGCAAATCCGTTATCCC